ATTTCGACAGCGGTTTAAATGTGGAAAATGTTTGCGTGTGARTGAAAAGTGGGCCAAATTGAAAAACAGGCCTTAGCGCTGTATTTGATATTAAATCAAAATCAAATTTATTTGGTTGTTTAAATTTTGAAAARACAATGATTTCCCCAGAAGAAAGTCAAACCCTGGCCTCTTGAGCAAGAGCCAGAAATCTAAACATACCTCTAGAACTAGTATATATGTACTGAATCTACGATGGTTAACTAAGGATTTTTATTTCAGAAATTAATTTGTTTTGTTGACCAATTTTCAAAATTTTTATTGAGGTATATTACTCTATCGGTCTGACTAAAAGCTCTATGCGATCTACACTTTTATCACCATGGCAACGTGTGACATCACACCTACTAACTTACTTGCAGGGTGGTGTGCATTCCTTTGAACAGTTTAGTTTGTTGTCCTTGAATAAGGCGTTGACGTTTCTCAAGCATTTTGCTGTAAAAACATATTGGGAAATTCAGCTTGGATCTTAAATATAGCTCTTTAGCTTGGGTGTAATATTTCCTGATCACAAGTCTTTCCGTAGAGTATCCTTACACTGTTTAATAGTTGCGCATGAGAAGACACATCAATATGGATACAACTCAAATCAAGAATCTTATTTTCAAAAGAATGACACGTGGTCTGAAGTGGGAAAACATTACACATAGGTTTATCATTATTCGTTTTTTTGTTGTTGTGATTATATATATATATATATTTGTTAGGGTGCACTTAATTTGGAGTCAAGCCCTGTTGTGCTTACCCCTTCAATGATAGCTTTGGAACTTAGATAACTGTTATGGATAAAGTTACGTAACTTCACTTATTTACCGTGAGTGATGTTGAACATGAGACATGCTGGGGTATTGTCAGTAAAAGGGAATCTGTACTCGGAACAGTTGCAGTACTTTCGTTGATTGTAAGMAAGACAAGACTCTCTACATGCCTTTAGAGTAAAATAACATTATACACATTATTACCCTGCTTAATAAATAAAAATAACATAAATAGGATGTAGCAGTGGGATTTCTTTAGATTGGCTTTTCAACCAAGGGAATTGAAAATTAGAAGTTGATATTTTGTGATATCATATTTTTATATCTTTCTATCCTCATTTCATTTATATCTAACGGCGGACCGGTATCTGATTAAAAAATTAAAAAAAATATATATATATATATACATGTATATATATATATATATACATACATGCAGCTATTTGCAAAAATCATGGCCGTTTCAAATATACTTACAAGTATATCAAAAGAATATCAGAAACGGCGGGATATCTTTCTTGGTATTTTTTTCCGAAAGCCCTAGTGAAAGAAAACTCGAAAAAAATATCAGGGATGATATCCAATAATTTTTGATATGCTGTTGATATACTTGTATATATATTGGACGTGGCCATAATTGACATAATTTGCATAATAGCTGTATATTTTTATATATAAGCATTGGCGGATCCAGGAATTTTAGAATAGATAGACTATTACAAAGGTTTTACCAGGAATGCCAGAAAAAGCAGGGTAGCTTACTAAGGATAATAATGAAAAGTTTGAGCAAGGGGGGACGTAACGATGCGGCGGCCATCTTGCCAGGTGGGCGAAACAAATGAAAGATGCTTCGTGTATAGGTCTTTCTTCTATGCTTAGGGACTGTTCATTAATTATGCCATTATGCCTTGGGGGGG